GATGGGTGCTTGGGGTGGCGAGACAAACACCGGGGTATATAGTGAGGGAAGAGGTCTTGGGGGAGTGTTGGAGGGAAATTAGAAAGGGAAAAGTCAGATATGGGAAAGCAGACAGAGACAACTATTATAGACGAGCGGGCTACTCGGTAACTGAGATAAATAGTAGACGAAGGGTGGGTAGGGAGATAGGGACCGAGATGTGCAGAGACAGGAAAGAAGGACACAAGGACTCTGCTCTATCCTGATTTCTTTCTTCATCATTTTTTTGCGGTGTTATAAATATTATTACGATTATTTGTGCTTTTCTGTATATTATTTGTATTATTTTTCTTAGTGTTGTTAGTTTTAATGCTCTTAGGTGAATGGCTATCTCTCCATCATCCTCTTCTACCATTACAATTTTTACATTTATTTCCTGTTGATATAACGGATTTCATTCTTTTATTAAAGTTCTTCGGTAATACTCACTCCTTGTCCCTTATTTTTTTCCAGTCGTCATAGCTTTCAGCTTTATCTATATTTTCTCTTAAATAATCTTCCTCCCTTTCTCTTCTTTCTGTAACTGTTAGTTACTTTCTGTTGCCCCCCCCCCCCTTCCTGAGACATTCCTGTATGTCTTCTTTCTGGATCCTCATTGTCTCTCTGTGTAATTTTTCTACTACACTTTTTAGTTGTCCCTTTGTATTTGGTCCACGTTCTGCGTCAAGACATTTGTTATTTCTATTATCTGCGTTTTTAACTGGTATTCTTCACAATTTTCCCATTTATCAGTTGATCTCTTTCTCCTTTCTACATCTCTCATTATTTCTTCTTCCATTAGTGGTTTCTTCGCTTTCCCATAATCGGAAGACCAGCTTTTTAACCTTTTCGGGATCTGACATTCTAGGTCCTTAACTTCGAGGGCTATCGACTAGTAATCTATCGGTCCAAATCCAGGAGGCATCGTATGAGCACACTCTTCACATTATTCATACGGTGTTATTTCTGTTAGGCTTACGAATATCTCATCTAAATCTGATTCCTCCGTACTATCTGCTTTGTCGCTTACTATATCTCTTGGCTTAGGCTGACATCTACTCCCTTCAGTGCTGCGCCTAAACACAAGCTCCTCTATATTTTCATGGGCCAGGCCCTGTATAATCACGTCCTTTCTCGCATTGTTGTCGTTTTCTGTGGTCTGGGAGTCACCAAGGGGTCGACCATTCCACTCAGCCGTTGCGTCAGCTGACATTGTCGACACAACTATCCGAGGCTCTTCTTTTCTATTATCCATTAAACCATGATTCCAGCTGTCAGGCGCCTAGGTTACATCCCATTCTATACCTAGTGGTAAGTACACATCACAGCACACTAAACACTGAAAACAAACACAAGCCGGTACTTTGCTGGTGTTGGCAAACCAGGCAGGAGCTCTTATAGGGTACTACTTGCTAATTGAGGTTGCTTCTTATTTTCCTTTTTTCCCTACTTCTGCCTTTCTCTCTTCGATGCTGGCGAAGGTTAACTCAACTCAACTCAACTCAACCCAACCCAACCCAACCCAACCCAACCCTTTTTTTATAGAGGATTAGGAAATGTGCTAACAGATACCCGGCCTAAGTTGTCATGCAGCCGGATACTATCGGATTGGCTTCCCTCTTGGGTTGCCAACCGCCCGTAGAGCATAACATTACTTCGGAGTGACTCCTACACTGATTCGCTCTGTCTTCTGCGTTTCACTTGTGGTTGGATTCGATAAAGTAGCTCAATAAACTAGTTCAAAAATTTTATCAAAAAGATTCCTATCATTACTTCATTTTTATTTGTATTAAAAGGAATCAAATGGAAATGTGTAAGAATAAGACTCAGTCCATGTTAAAGAAATTGAGGAATGGTGTTTAAATAAAGATTCATGTTCTAGTTAAATTAAATCCATGAAAAAAAGCTCCTTCTGTTCCAAGACCACACCTTCAAAGAAACACTATTGCTGAAAATCAAACAGCTTTAAAACTACTCCATAACTAAAGAAATTGAGGAATGGTGTTCAAATAAAGATTCTTGTTTTAATTAAATTAAATGCATGAAAAAAGCTCTTTCTGTTCCAGGACCACATCTTTAAAGAAACACTATTGCTGAAAATAACAGTTTTTTAAGTTGAATCCTATTTAGTTCATTTCCAAGTAGCTCAATGAACTAGTTCAAAAATTTCTTCAAAAAGATTCCCATCATTAGCTCATTTTTATTTGTATTAAAAGGAATCAAATGGAAATGTGTGAGGATAAGACTTTAATAAAACAAAGATAATTTATAATTTAATTACTTCTCAAACTCATTTTAAATTTTATTTGAATAAAATAAAAGTTGTGGAGTTAAATTTTGGTTTTAATGTGATTCAAAAACGATAAAAAATTAAGTTTTATACTTTATAATAATGTACTAATATGACATAAAACTTTCAAATACATTGCAAAAAAATAATTTTAAAGTGTTTTATTCCTTAACTTTGCTTTCATGATAAAAGCGCATGATTTTAGGAAATTATTGACGTTCTGCTCGCGCATCCCACATCTTAGCATCAAAAGATAACCCAAAAAAATCGTTTTAAACATGGATTTGTGCGATTTCAACATAGAAAAAGTATGTAGAGCTTGTTTAGAAGAAACCCAAAACATGTCACCACTTCTACAAGACGGTTTAAGCGAAATGTTTAGTTTTTGTACTTTATTAAGCGTAAGTTAATTAATGTTCAAACATTTTTCTTAAATTAATTTATTTAAAGGTTTTAGACAACAAATTTCCCTCTTTAATATGCAATAAATGTAAATTCGAACTTGGTATAGCGTATAACTTCAAACAACTATGTCTGCGATCCCAACAGACACTTGAGCAATACTTCAGTCAAACTAGATTTGATGAGTTGGAATTTAGTTTGTCCGAATTCCTAAAATCCGATCAATTCCTCGACGATGACGATACAGACATCGCCAAAGAAATTGAAAAGGAAATTTTAAACTTGGAAGATGATTTTCTTTTGGACAACGAACAATACACTTGCGATAAATGCAATGNCAACTGTCTTTCTTAATTTGTATTGGAAAGACTACTAGATCGTAATCTCAACATGCTTACATGCGCAGTTCATTCTATGTATAGCTTTGTAAGGAAGGCATTGCAATCTAAAGAGATTTTGAAGATGCTTTCGATAAGATGACTTTCTTGGGTAATAATAAGACTTTAAACACAATGTCACTGCTATCACTCCTATCCTTTGTGGTTGGACAGAGATTATTCAACAACTAAGAATCCTTTTTTTTAAATTTTTAAAATTAAGGGCTGACTATGTCTCACTTATAAAAACTAAAATTGAAAGTCCCAAAATTCCATTGTACGCTATCCAACCCAACCCAACCAAACCCAACCCAACTCAACTCAACCCAACCCAACCCAACCCAACCCAACCCTTTTTTTATAGAGGATTAGGAAATGTGCTAACAGATACCCGGCCTAAGTTGTCATGCAGCCGGATACTATCGGATTGGCTTCCCTCTTGGGTTGCCAACCGCCCGTAGAGCATAACATTACTTCGGAGTGACTCCTACACTGATTCGCTCTGTCTTCTGCGTTTCACTTGTGGTTGGATTCGATAAAGTAGCTCAATAAACTAGTTCAAAAATTTTATCAAAAAGATTCCTATCATTACTTCATTTTTATTTGTATTAAAAGGAATCAAATGGAAATGTGTAAGAATAAGACTCAGTCCATGTTAAAGAAATTGAAGAATGGTGTTCAAATAAAGATTCATGTTTTAGTTAAATTAAATCCATGAAAAAAAGCTCCTTTTGTTCCAGGACCACACCTCCAAAGAAACACTATTGCTGAAAATCAAAAAGCTTTAAAACTACTCCATAGCTAAAGAAATTGAGGAATGGTGTTCAAATAAAAATTCATGTTCTACTTAAATTAAATGCATAAAAAAAGGGGTTAAAGCGAGTTAAATTTTGGTTTTAATGTGATAAAAAATTAAATTTTACACTTTATAATAATGTACTATGACATAAAACTTTAAAATACATTTAAAAAAGAAATTTTAAAGTGTTTTATTCCTTAACTTTGCTTTCATGATAAAAGCGCATGACTTTAGGAAATTATTGACGTTCTGCTCGCGCATCCCACATCTTAGCATCAAAAGATAACCCCAAAAAATCGTTTTAAACATGGATTTGTGCGATTTCAACATAGAAAAAGTGTGTAGAGCTTGTTTAGAAGAAACCCAAAACATGTCACCACTTCTACAAGACGGTTTAAGCGAAATGTTTAGTTTTTGTACTTTATTAAGCGTAAGTTAATTAATGTTCAAACATTTTTCTTAAATTAATTTATTTAAAGGTTTTAGACAACAAATTTCCCTCTTTAATATGCAATAAATGTAAATTCGAACTTGGTATAGCGTATAACTTCAAACAACTATGTCTGCGATCCCAACAGACACTTGAGCAATACTTCAGTCAAACTAGATTTGATGAGTTGGAATTTAGTTTGTCCGAATTCCTAAAATCCGATCAATTCCTCGACGATGACGATACAGACATCGCCAAAGAAATTGAAAAGGAAATTTTGAATTTGGAAGATGATTTTCTTTTGGACAACGAACAATACACTTGCGATAAATGCAATGAATCTTTTGATTTACTATGTGATTTAGAGACTCATAAGATAACCCATCGCGAAATCACCGATTTAAAATGCCCCCAATGCGGGAAAGTTTTCGAACGAATGAAAGCTTTAAAAAGACACATTAAAATTCATATGAAAGATAAAAAATATAAATGCGAATTTTGTTCGAAAGGATTTTCGGAAGCTGGGAGTTTAACGAGACATTTAAGAAAACACAAAGGTGAAAAAAAACATTTGTGTACCGTTTGTGGAAAAAGATTTTACGAGGCGAACGTTTTGAGGATTCATTTAAGAGTGCATAGTGGGGAGAAACCAATTTCTTGCACGATTTGTGATAAGAAATTCGGAGATCCAAACGGTTTAAGAAGTCACTTAAAAAGTCATAGTGGCGAAAAAAATTATCAATGTAAAATTTGTATGAAAGCATTTGCTCATTCTTTTAGTTTAAAAAATCATTTAAGGATTCATTCTGGAGAGAAATCATTTTTATGTTCAATTTGTGGAAAAAGTTTTACTCAGGTAAGCTAATCATTTTTTATTAAACCCAAAAAAACCAAATAAAGTTGTAGAGTCATTACATTACGGCTCATATGAAACAACACACAGGAGATCTTCCGTTTTCTTGCAAACATTGCGATAAAAGATTTTCACAAAATTCGCAATTAGAAATTCATACAAGAACACACACCGGGTATAAACCGTTTATGTGTGCTGTAAGTAATTAAAATTTAATTTTTACTCAATTAAAATGTTTTAATTTTTAGGTATGTGGTAAAAGTTGTGCAAGATCCACAGATCTCTCGGTTCATATGAGAACTCATACCGGAGAAAAACCGTATGCTTGCACACAATGTCCGAAACGTTACGTAACCTCTTCACATTTAAAATTACATTTAAAAACTCACACCGGTGAAAGGCCGCATGTTTGTAAAACTTGCGGAAAAGGATTTTTTGATGCAAAAGGATTAAAATCGCATTTTAGAATTCATACCAATGAGAAACCGTTTAAATGTAATGTTTGCGGGAGTTGTTTTAAGCAAAGCGGTCAATTAGCTGTTCATAGAAGAATTCATATTTCAAAAGATATTCAAAAAAAACAAGAAAATGAAAATTAATTAGATTGTTAAGGTAATGAATCAATAAATTTTTGATTTAAATAAATCCATAATTCATTTTTTCCATTAATGTAATCATATTAAGTATATTAATATTAAGATAGGATTTAATGCTGCTAATAAAAGAGTAGAGTGTTTGCAGAAGTCCAAACCCAACCCAACCTATCCCTATCAGCATTAAATAGATGGCGTTACCGCAGCATACCAGCACAGAACAATCTTTATTTGAACACCATTCCTCAATTTCTTTAGCTATGGAGTAGTCTTCACCTAATTTTTTAAGCGACTTTAATTTGTCACTTAAGCATACATTTGTGTCATTTCTTTTTCTACTTATATTGTTCTTGCACATAAAATACACTTTGCAAAAATTACTCTTGATTAGATATGCACTATACACAAATATGTGGCACACAGTGACAATTTCATCAAGAACTGTATCAGATGAGAAGTTATTTCAAACGTGTTGTTTACTAGTTACATATTAAATCTCGCAAAGCTAGGATTATACGGAATCATAAGGTGGTTAGATCTATTTAAAACGAACCCTCATTTTTAAAGATACATCACGGATTGTATTCGGAACTCTACTGTAAAGGAAAGTCGTATTTTTTAGGTTATATCACTTTTTAGGTCTAAATAAAACGTTTCGATTTTTCTTAAACGTGTTTTTTATCATGTCTACAGTCGATTTATCTTGTTATCCACTCATTTTCATCGGAAAATATGAATTAATCGTGAAAATAAAAACGATATAACCTCAAATGACTTATTTGTGAAGGAGGTTGTCAATTTTACAGTACCAATTAAAAAAAAATAAAAGTACCAACTCATGGAAACGTCTCAGTTTTGAGATTATGTAGCATAGAAATAAATAATTAACAATTAAAGAGGAAAAATGGTTATAATAATATATTATGTGGTTAATTTAAAGTTAATTGTTTCAAATAATATTATTTAAACTTGACAGAGAATTTATTGTGGTAAGGATACGTATATTTGGTTGCCTATCTTAATAAAAATCTAAAATTGTTTAACTAATTAAAAGTAATAGAATAAAATGTTCTACTGTAATGGTAGCTCAATAAATTTAATCCTCTATGACTAATTACCATATGGTCTCTAATTTGGTGTTGTTTAAACGTGTTCTAATTGTCAAACTATCTTTACTAAAAACTTTCAAAAAGATAATAAGAATTCAAAATTATGTTTACTTTTTACAAATTGAAATGTAACCCAAAAGGAAGTCTTTAATTAATCTAAAAAAATAGAATGTGATGTATTTGAAGGATAATATAAAAATTAAACACCAATATTTTGATGTTTATGTCTCATATTATTCCAATTTATTTCATACTCATATTGTTCATTGCATATAAAATATACTTTGCAACAATTAATCTTGATTAGACATGCACTATACACAAATATGTGGCACATAGTGACAATTTTATCAAGAACTGTATCAGATGAGAAGTTATTTGAAACATGTTGTTTATTCACGTTAAATCTCGCAAAGCTAGGATTATACGGAATCATAAGATGGTTAGATCTATTCGAAAGGAACTCACATTTTTAAAGATATAGCTCGGATTATACTCGGAACTCTACTGTAAATGAAAATCGTATTTTTTAGGTTATATCACTTTTTAGTCTAAATAAAACGTTTCGATTTTTCTTAAACGTGTTTTTTATCATGTCCACAGTCGATTTATCTGGTTATCCACTCATTTTCATCGGAAAATATTAATTAATCGTGAAAATAAATACGATATAACCTCAAATGACTTGTTTGTGAAGGAAGTTGTCAATTTTATAGTACCAACTTAAAAAAAATAAAAGTATTAAATCTGAGAAACGTCTAAGATTATGTAGAAATAAATAATTCATAAATTAAAACTAAATATACTATGTAATTAATTTAAATAAAATTATTTAAAACAATTTTATTTAAACTTGACACAGAATTTATTTTGTAAGAACCTAACGATATGTATATTTGGTTGCTTATCTTAATAAAAAATCTAAAATCACTTAACTAATTGAAAGTAATTAAATAAAAGGTTCTACTGTAATGGTAGTTCAATAAGTTTAATCCTCTACTACTAATTACCATATTTATGCGCTTTAACAGTTAATTATGGCTGGCAAATGGGAGTTACGACCATTTCAAGAGTGAGATATTCATTTTTATCCACATCTATCAAAATTTTTTAAGCTATTGTCAGAATAAATCCTTTTTCCTATCATAAACTGACAAAAACTCTATGAATTTTTCGCTGATTTTTAATTTGTTGTTGTTTACATATCTTCTAATTGTCAAATTAACTTTACTAAAAACTTTCAATAAGATAATAACAACTCAAAATTATGTATATGTTGTACAAAGTCTTTAATTAATCTAAAAAAATAGAAAGTGATGTATTTGAAGGAAAATATAAAAATTAAACACCATTATTTTGATGTTTATGTGGAGTCCCTGGTTCTTGTCTCATATTATTCCAATTAACTTCATCGAAATCAATCACAACCCTACTTTGTTTGGGTTTATATTGTCTAAAAAAATACAAGAATTAATTGTAATAAAAATAATAATTAAAAATTACTTGTATGTAATTCCCACAGCATCAAACATCCTTTTCGAAGCTTTAGTTTCTATCTTATCAGCGTACTTATCAGACATATAAATAACCTCGGTTATTCCTGATTGAATAATAAATTTCGCACACTCATTACATGGAAATAAAGCGACGTAAATTTTACATCCCTTTACATTAAATACATTTTTGTTTAAAATTGCGTTCATTTCGGCGTGGCAAACTAAAATGAAACTTATAATAACATTAATTTGATGTAAATAAATCAAATTTACCATAAAGATATTTCGATTCTAAACTATTTGGTTGTTTTCCCCAAGGAAATTCATCGTCGCTACAACCGGTAGGCATCCCATTGTATCCGATTCCCACTATTTTATTATCGGGGCTTACAATACAAGCTCCAACTTGCGTAACGGGATCTTTGCTTCTTTTTGCAGCAAGAAACGCCGTTGCCATAAAATAATCCTCCCAATCCATAAAATCTTCTCGTTTTAACCTAAAATATAAATCAAATTAATTTTATTGTTTATTGTAGTTTTAAAATTATTTACGATTTTGGATTTTCCTCAACCATTTTTTGATTTATACTAAAAATGAATTTAAATAAAATTAATTTAAAGAAATAAAAACAAATTTTTAAGGTTATGTTATCATGTGGTTGTCAATTTTTATGTATCAACGATTTAAAATGACGTGATTAAAAATTTCGGGGTACTCGTAATAAAAAGGCGGACAAGTTAATTTGGTTGTTCTATGTAGTGAGGTGTAATGTGAAGTTGGTTAATACCAACCTGATCGTAATACCAACTTAATAGAAAGAGAAATAATCAGAAGAGAACGAGCCGGCTTGTCAATTCCCAAACATGGCAGCAGTCTGTTCGCGGTGTTATGATGTGATGGTTAAATTTTCGTGTTTCTTGTGACCGGGTGCGTTTTAAAATAAATTTAGTGGGTTATCGTACGTGGTACAAATAGACGCGATGGCGGACCTAACCAAACCACCATTAAGTGACATTAAACATCCCGAAGAAGTAGTTAGAATGGCCATGAATGACAGTCTTAAATTTGCAGTATTAATTGGGCTTATCGAAGTCGGACAGGTGACCAACAGGGAGGTGGTTAATACTGTTTTACAATTGGTAAGTAAAGGGTTCACTTTTAAAGGGGTTCCTAAAAAATCGTTTTCAAAAATGGAACTGTTTTCTTTTTGTTTCCAGTTTTCGTGATTTAACTTGCAATGTTTTTTTTTTGATACACCTGTAAAGATGAAGGAAATTTTATTTCTCCTTACTAAGAAGAACGTTTTTATTTTTATTCTTAATATTAATTATGTAACGTGGGTGTGCCGAAAAAATAATGCACTTTCACGCGATTTAAACGGCTTTTTTTTGGTGTTTTGTATACTTTCAACGTGGTAATTTTGGTGTTATCAATTTTTTATTTGTAATTTCATCGTAGATAGCGCTGTATGAATACGTGTACAAAAAAAAAAGAAGAAAACAAATGAATGTTTTGATATTTTCATAAAATGTGTTACAATAACAATTTAGTTATTCTATGTAAAATTTATTACATTTTTTATCAATATGAATAGGTATTATAATATAAAAAGTATACAGGGTGTTTCTATAAGTCGTGGCATAAGTTTAATCACAAATAGTAGAGTAAAAATTATGACAATTCGTGTAAAAATGTTTGGTCTAATCCAGGGTTTTTCAACATGTTAAAGGTTACAACTCTCTACAAGTTTGAAACGCATAAAATTGAAGCTTCGTTTTATCGCTACTCATCGCAAAGACCAAGAAAAGCCAGATTACCTAAACTAAAACTAACACTAGCAGTATCACTAGAACTAACACTAGACCTAGAACTACAAACTTTCGAAGACTACAAACTTTTCTTTGTCTGAAGACGCACGGCTAAACCCAAATATTTCTAGTTCTAGGTCTAGTGTTAGTTCTAGTTTTACACTAGCAGTATCACTAGAACTAACACAAGACCTAGAATCATTCGGGTTTAGCCGTCTCGAAAGACGTGCGGCTAAACCCGAATTTTTCTAGTTCTAGATTTAGTGTTAGTTCTAAACTGACCGGCAAAAAAAACCGGCCACTGAAATTTTGCCACAATTTCAAAGCTGGGTTTCTCGCGAACCACTCATTCGATTTTGATGATTCCTTTTTTGATCGAAAGGTTGATTCTTCTGTAATAATCCTGCGATAGAAATTTTTATTCAGATATTAATTTGAGCATATACAGGGTGCAAGAATGAGAAAAGCATTTTTTCTCGAAATTTGTAATACCCTGTGGAGTGCAGATGCTACAGCAGAGGGTGTTAACTGGAATCAAGCGGTAACCCAATCTTTTCTGAACATTTTGTTTTTTTATTCACTCTATTATCTCTGTTACTAACGAAGATGCAGTGTTTTAAAGCGAACGCCTGTGAAAACAAGACAAACAAGCATACAAAATATAAGGTGGCGCGCTAAGTAGCGTATGTCAGTTGTTTCGAATAGTAAATTGACAGTTGTCAAAGATGCCGTTGTCAATAACTGATGTTGCGCGTATTATTAGTTTAATTGAAGATGGCAAAAGTCAGCGGTACGTTGCCCATACGTTGGGTATACGCCGAACAACAGTTCAGGATGCCTGGAACCGATATGTGGAAACAGGAAATTTTACTAGGCGGCAAGGTTCCGGTAGAAGACAAGTGAAAACAGCAGTTGATGATCGATTTATTGTGCTAAACACTCTGAGGAATCGTAGAACGATTGCTATAGAAACTCGGCATCGTCTTCAAATGGTGCGTGGGATTGACGTAAGTGAAAGAACCATTCGTCGAAGACTTGCTGAAAGTGATCTAACTGCAAGAAGACCTGCCAAAAGACAGCGGCTGCTCCAGAGACATCGGCGAGCACGTCTTCAATTTGGGCGCCTACATACGAATTGGGAAATGGAACAATGGGGTAAGGTGCTCTTCACTGACGAGTCCCGATTATGTCTCCAGTCACCTGATGGTCGAGAACGAGTGGAGACGTCGTAATGAAAGGTTTGCGACCTGCACAATTTCGGAAAGAGTACCTTTCCATAGAGGTTCGGTCATGGTATGGGCGGGTATTTCGATGGAAGCGCATACAGCGCTCATCTTTGTTGAAAATGGCACGCTAAATGCCCACCGTTATATCCAAGATATTCTGCAAGAAGCTGTCGTGCCCTATTCCCATTTTATTGGTGACGGATTCATGCTAATGCATAACAATGCGCGACCGCACGTAGCACGTGTGGTTAGCGAATATCTTGATGAGGTGGGTATTGAACGGATGGAGTGGCCAGCGTGCAGCCCGGACCTTAACCCTATCGAACATCTTTGGGATCAACTTCAGAGACGCATTCGTCGTCGTCCTGTCCTACCGGACAACCTTCAGGAGTTACGAATTGCTCTTGAAGAAGAGTTTACCGCAATTCCTCAGGAATCAATTACAAACCTAATCAGTTCGATGCCGCGTCGACTACATGACGTTATTTTGGCTCGTGGGGGGCACACACGTTATTAATTTTCGTGTTATTATTAATTATTACATTAAATTAAATTTGTTTTCTTGTTTATGTGTCCTTGTTTTTACTGCATATTAGAACTGAGAACAGATGTTTACAATAATGAAGGACGTACGCAATTCTGTAATTCTAAGAAAATGTAAGTGCTTCTGAAAAACTGTTTCGGGTGCCCAGTTTTAGTTTTCAAGGTCAGTGATTTAAGGCGCCACTTTTAACAATGATTAAAATTCTGTATAGGGTTCTTTGGAAATTCCCGGCCACACCATCACAGAACCATCATCGAAACTTTCGAGTTTCATAATTGTATAGTCCACAAATCTTTCATTTCAACGTCTTCATATTCGCTCCTGACTATCGGGTGATAGTAGACAAAACCACTACTCATCCGTAAAAAGGACCTCCATTGCACTACTCATTCCTCTATTGCTCGATCTCCCAATTCATATGTAAGCGCGCAGATTGAAGACGCGCACGTCGATATCTAGGAAGCAGCCTCGGCCCTTTGGCAGCCTTCTTGCAGCCAGACCAGTTCTAGCAAGTTTTCAGCGAATGGTTCTCTCACTGACATCAACAACACGCACCATTTGAAGACGATGCTGAGCTTATGCAGCTGTCGTTCTACGATTGCTTAGAACAATAAAACGGTCATCAGCTACTATTGTCACTCATCTTGTTTTCACAGGCGATCGCTTTAAAATGCTGCATCTTCGTTAGTAACAGAGATAATAGAGTGAATAAAAAAAGAAAATGCTCAGAAAAGATTGGGCTACTGTTTGATTCCAGGTAATACCCTCTGCTGTAGCAGCTGCACCCCACAGGGTGTTACAAATTTCGAGAATAAAAGTTTTTCTCATTTTTCTCACCCCGTATATGCTCAAATTAAAATCTGAACGAAAATTTCTATCGCAGGATTATTACAGAAGAATCAACCTTTCCATCAAAAAAAGAATCATCAAAATCGAATGCGCGGTTCGCGAGAAAGCTAGCTTTGAAGTTGTGGCAAATTTATAGTGGCCGGTTTTTTTTGCCGGTCAGTTTAGTTTTGCACTATCACTAGAACTAACACAAGACCTAAATCTAGAATCATTCGGGTTTAGCCATCTTGAGAGACGTGGGACTAAATCTGAATGTTTCTAGTTCTCGTTAGTTCTAGTTTTCTAGATGTTAGTATAAATTTAAAAGTTTATTGAAATTGTTTTCATCCATATTCACCAAGCAATATTCAAAATGTATAAAGATATAAATAAGTAATACTAAGGTGATCATTCTTCTTTTTATTGTCTAGACCAGGTTTCGGGACCCTTTTTTTAAGTTTTTGGAATCGTTCGATGGCTGTTCATTATGTTGAATTCGATTTGGCTTTATGTTTGGGTTGCTATTTCATACTTATCTCCAACTTATTTAATACCTTAGTTTCACATTATGTAATGAAAGTTATTATGACAATTTTTGTAAGTGTGAGTGGAAGAGGTTTTGAGTTTGGAAGCAGCTCATAGCCTGCACCACTTACACCCCATGCCCCAATATCCCCATATGGTTCACACCTATCTACCTAAATCCCCATTTTCGAGTATTTGCAGTTTTCCTTTGCAATATTTATTTTAATACGTTAAACACTTAGTTTCGTTTTCGGATTTTGGTTTTCGTTTTACTATTTGCGCTTAAATATGCTTGATAACCATTAATAATCTTTTGAATTCAAATCTGTTCCTGTCGAAACCTGTTTTACTGACTTTATAACCTTAAAATGCGTTCAACGTGTTCTGAACTGAAATTTTTTAATATGTTTGTACTGTTATATTAACTTTGACGTAAGTTTAATTAAGATCGTTTAAATTCGGGCAGTGTCCCGAAACCTGGTCTAGACAATAAAAAGAAGAATGATCGCCTTAGTATTACTTATTTATATCTTTATACATTTTTAAAAGTTTATGTCTTTTATTTTATATAGAATTTAAGTCTATACTTGATCTGCTTTGCCTGAAACCGTACTGATCTTTATACAGCATGTCCTTCTCGTCGATTTCAGTTTCCAATCGTGTCCTTATTAGCAATTCCAGCAGCTTTCCCATCGTATCCTCCAGACAACCCAACCCAAC